CCTTTATAGCTGTTTTAAATTGATCTCCAAAGTTCATATAGTCCAACATTTTGTTTAAAAACTGCCATTCCAATTTATCAAAGGCCTTCTCCGCATCAAGAAAGATAAAAGCCGAAGATATTTGATTATTCTTATCCAAATATTCCAGTAAATTTACAATTTGCCTAATATTGTTCTTCATGTATCTTCCAGATATGAAGCCAGTTTGGTCATCATGTATATAATGTTGCAGTATCTGCATCAATCTATTAGCCAAGATTTTTGCAAAAATTTTATAATCCACATTCAACAAAGAGATAGGTCTGTAATCTTTAAGTTCCAAAATTTCTTTATCATCCTTCGGTATCAAAGATATAAAAGCTCTTGTCCAAGACTGTGGTATTTGTTCTCCCAACATAATTCTATTGAATAAAGTTTTTAAAGGTTGTAACAATACAGCTGACAATGACTTATAATAAATTGCTGTTAAACCATCTGTTCCAGGGGCTTTGCCAGCTTTCAATTGTTTAATTGCTTTTAAAATTTCATCTGTAGTAATCTCTTCATTCATAAGTTTCTGTTGCTCCAATGTAAGTTTGTATATAGATGAAGATTGTAAATATTTATCAATATCTTCACTATTTATAGTCTCTGAAGAATATAAATGCGAATAAAATTCAGTAAATGCCCTTTTAATCATTTCTTGTTGGTGGATCTCACGATCTTTGACCAACACTTTAGATATCAGTCTCGCTTTTTGTCTCTTGCGTATTTGGTAGGCCAACCATCTCCCCGGTTTATTTGCATTTGCAAATGTATTATGTTTAATATACTTCAAGTTAGTGGCCACCTGATCAGCAATTAACAAATTAAATTGATCTTTAAGCATTTTAATAAAAAATTTTAAGTTAGTATCTGTTGGTCGTTGCAATAGTAATTTTTCCTTAATCCCAATTTCTTTTTCCAAGTTAAGTCTAATCTGTATTTGTTTGCGTTTATATGCATTATTCATAGCAATTAATATTCCCCTTAAATAAGCCTTGCCAGCATCCCAGACAATATTTATGGAAGTCTCCTTATTCATATTAAGTTGAAAGAACTCTTCCATAGATTCCTTCAAAGCTTTAACTTTATCTTCATAATTAAACAAGTTTTCATTTATTCTCCAAGATTTCCTCTTTCTTTTTTGGCCAATCTCTAACCACACCATACTATGATCAGTCAAAGTTCTGGGAAAGATTTTGGTTTTATTACAGTCAGTAAGCAGGTCAGTCGATGTCAAAACAAAGTCAATCCTTGAGAAGGAGTCATGTCTGTGAGAAAAAAAAGTAAAGTCACGTTCATTAATATGTTGTGATCTCCAAGCGTCCACCAATTCTAAATCGTCCTTCATAGCAAAAAAGGACTTAGGTAATCTGGAAAGGGTTACATCCTTAGAAGTTGTTTTTTTATCTTTTGACGTATCCAGAACTCCATTCCAGTCTCCCATAACAATCAAAGAACTATAGTCCATCGCCACAATTTTCTGATGTAGTTGTCTATAAAATTGCTTTTCAGCTGCAAGTTGATTGGGGGCATAAACCCCTATTATTAAGCATTTTCTTCCATTTAAAGTTATTTCCACAAATAAGTATCTTCCTTCTTTATCAGCTTCTTTTAAAATAGGTAAAAGATGTCTTTTGATATACATTGCAACCCCAGCTCTCTTTTTTAAGGCAGATGCAGCAAACAGGTCTCCAAGCTTGGAGTTCAATAACAATTTTTGATCTTTAACCACAATGTGAGTCTCTTGTAAGCATATAATATCATTATTAAAATGTCTTAAATAATGAAAAATCTTGCGTCTTTTGTGGGGAACATTAAGTCCACCCACATTCCAAGATATGAGCTTACACATTAGGAGGTTTTAATCCACTGACAATACTAGATGCATATGATTTCACAAAGACCTTGGGTCGAGCGCCACCTACTGGCTGCAATAATACATTTTCAACCAACATGCTGTCTGAGTTTATATATGCTAATACATATTTAATTCCTAATCCTTTATTCTTTCCTCAAGCCAATAGTAAAATAAGTTCCAGGTTTGATAATAGTCTGTTTCTTCCTTTTCTTT